ACTACGGATTGCAAATTTAGCCAGTTATAGGTAATTCGTCTAAACTTCCAATTAAAATCTGTTTACGGGTAATTTACTGGTAATTTTTTCCAAAAAAAAAAAAAAAAAAATGTTGGATGTGTATATAATAGCAAATAGTATTTTTTTAACCCCAGAATGGCTATTATTCTCGAAATGGCATTTTGCGCGGATTCATTAAAAGAGTTGAAATCCTTTTCAATTTGTTGCCGCCAAATATTATCGCCCTATATTATATTTAAAGCAATTAAATAATGAAGAATTTGCATGAAATGTATACATGTTTCTTGCATTCTGAAAAAACAACGGTAGCCATCAAATTTTGAATAACGTAATCCTTCGTTCGAATATGGACATCTGGAAGCCCAAATTTTGACTTTCCAATTAGTTTTATCATCTACTTCATATATTGTAAAACTTTAACGAATTTTTGATTAAAAAAAGTCAACAATTTCAAAGCGATCAGTGGCAACACGATACGGAATAAAACATTTTTATCTCCAGCACGCGAGACTGACTGTGGGAAATTTTAAAGATATGCTGCTTTTAAATATTTCTACCCCAAAGGAGTTTTAACCTAAATGCCCTCGAAACGTGTAACGCCCCTTTAAGCATAATTAAAAATTCTGAAAGCTTTCAGATTTTTTGGGTGGCGGGCATTGGCCATTTTATGTTATAGTATAAAATATAAAAATAGATATTTTATTCAAAACTTATTGCACAAATATTTATTAAGATAAATTATATTCTGAATAGGAAATATAAAATGGCTTACCATGTAGTACACAAAAAATAATCCAAAATAATTTGCCATCTTTTAACATTACAAAAAATGAACAAATTTTTATGCATATGTATGTAGGTATTTTCCTAAATGAATTACCATGGTTGTAATTACCATAAAAATATTGAGGAAGTATTCTCTTATAGATAAAATAAATGTTTTCCATGTAAGTAAAATATAGGCTTAGAAGACAACAAGAAGTTGTTTTAAACTGTAGGTTTAGTATTGATTGCATAAGAGCTGGCTATCTAATAATCAATTTTTGATTGATTCTCAAACATTTTAATAAAACATCTCGGTTAATTTTTGATGTAGGGAAATGAAGACTTTCCTATTTTATTTTCTATAATGAGTATAAAATTTTATTGAATAAAACTACAGAGAACCGGATGACGATATAAAAAGTTAGTAATTCTTACAAAATTTGTCTTTAAAATTTAAAAATACCAAAACACAATTATTTAGGGGTACTAAAACATTTTCGTAGATGAAAGTGTACGTCTACGACCAACAACTGGGAAACTAAAGGTCACCTGATGTTTTTTATGGAAGCAGTGTATATTTTTTTTCTTTTCAATTAATTTCCAAAAAGATAAATTCTCTTTCCAGGAGTATAAAAAGGGAAGAGAAGCTAAACGAGGGCCAAGATGTTGGTTTGCTTAAACTACTGTGTCGTTCAAATCAGCACGTATTAGAACACTGTTATTGAATCTGAAACTTCATTGTAATTAGCATTCTGAGTAATTACTGCATTTCCTCGTTCATAGCTTTTTAAAGCTGGTTCTTAAATTTTAAAAAAATGTCCGCGTAATTTTCTCTTTCCTCAATGCGTTCAGAGGTAAAGTTTCCCTAAATTTATAAAATGGATTCGTCCACGCAGTGATTATTTTCATTCTTACTAACAAACTACCTGCAAAGGTCACGCCGAACAAGCCCTATACGCCCTTCTAACTGTTGAGCCTTATGCCCGCCTAATACAAGGACCGGCCAATTACAGCGAAGCAAACATACCTATTTTATTTTCTATAATGAGTATAAACAGCGAACTTACATTCAATCTATGATTTGGGTGAGTCTGCTGCACATTCACCTTCTCTAATTATGTATTATGTATGGATGATACCATACATAATACATAATAAATCTAAGGAGTAGAATAAAAATCAAAAATAAGAACAAACAAGGTGAATCTTTACATTATGGTAACTTGGCGATTTTTTGGCGAAAATATGGCGACCAACCCTGCTACAGCAGCCTGTTAGTTTTGTTTTGGGCGCCATTTTGTTTTCACGAAGTAAAGGCACTTTTTTTTTTTTTTTTTTTTTTTTTTTTTTTACTCAACATTTTTTCCAACAATCTGCTAGCCGAATTACGCTTATACTAGAACTTCTATGGAACAAAAATGCTTAATCATGACGAAGATTAGGTGCGAAATTGGGAGAAAGTGCAGAATCGCAACCTGCTTTCCGCGTTTTTAAGAACTGCACATACACGGTATCCATGTACACGTCGACCTATTTTCACTTTAAAAAAATCCCAGAATTGCACAAAAATGGCATTGCGCACACTCTTCACATTATCTATGTACACATCGACCTATTTTCACTTAAAAAGTCAAAGAAAATTGACAAAAATCCAATTCTTCTTACTCTTGTAAAAAGCGCCAAACAAATAAGTGGGCGATTCTGCACTTTAGCAGCGAAATTGTTTCTAAGTGCTTATTAACTAAAATCACGATCGGAATTTTTCCGGAAAATGTCACATGACATGTCTCATGATCTCTCATTTCTCTGAGACAAAATAATTTGTCATTCGAACTGTGTACTTCTCAAATTATTGCTAAAGTCTTAGCTAGTAACCTTTACCACGTTACCAAAATGTCGCCAAACTACCTGTTACCATATTCTAAAGGAGCCCACCAGCGGCCGAGCGGTAAAGTCGCTGAACACTGGTAGTTCGGTCCGAGGTTCGAATCCCGCGAACGGGCTGGCTGCATGGGCGTTTTCGTGGTTTTCCCCATGTGTAACGTGTATACGAGCCAGTTTCCCTTAGAAAGTCCTCCACGAAGGCATCCCTCCCCTTAAACAGATAGCCCTCGAGGCTTTGCCATAATCACACACACCCACACCATATTCTAAAGATTAGCCTAAACGAGATTCTAGTTAGAAAGAAGTAGAAATGTAGATGACTTATTAGATTATTCAATGTTAATACTCTATGTATTCTTACTCGAATGTAGGTTTCTTTCAAAGAAATAATATTGCGATAGTTACTTGTAGATTATACGTGACTACTTTTCATTTTTTTATATTCTTACTGTAAACGCGTCCTTCGGAAATTAAATAATTTGCATAATTTTCCCCTCGAAAGTCTTCGAGTATCATATTTCAAAGAAAATATCCATTTTGACAGCTATCGAATGCAATTTAACGATGTTTTTGCATAGCATCTGAACGTAAGAACAGTATAAAGGACTCTTTTTTTCCCAAAAAAAATTATAAAACTGATTTGAAATGAATTCTGAAGAGGAGTTTTCGTGCCGTCTGTGCGTACGTATGTATGTATGTGTGTATGTATATCGCATAACTTAAAAAACGAATAGCCTCAGAACATTGAAATTTTGTATATAGGACAGCTATAGCATGTAGATGTGCACCTCCTATTTTAGTTGCAATTCGCCTCACGAGAAATAGAATTTTAATATATATATCCCCTCTGTTACTCGGCCAGTGATCTCAGTTTCTTTATTCTTACTGTTTTAATGTGCTTTTTTACTTTAAAAATGATTGATATCTTTTTCTTATCTTCCGGTAGGTTTTTATATTTAGTAATCTACATCCATATTTGTAGAATTTCAACATTGAAGTTGTTTAAGTGCGACTAAGCCTATTATTTTTACTGTAGCAGACATGTTCGTTTGCAATCGAAACTTTAGATAATGGATTGTTGCCAATCTAGAGAGACTAAGCTTCGCAACAACAAAAAAACGCCTTTTTATTGTGATTTAATCATGCTTTATCCATTCTTGAATTTATCGAGGCAATAAGTGTTTAAGATTTACTTCGTAATTTTAATACAAATATTTAGAGGTTTTTGTATTTTGCCTTATCGTGAAGGAGCATTGAATAATTGAATGAGAAATACTAACGTCTGTGAAAAACGGTTTCTTTTTTTGTTTTTTGTTATAATCGTTTTAGATTTTTATAGTATTGAAGATTGAATATAAAATGTGGCACGATTACTAATTCCTCGATTGTAGAGTCATTATTTTAATTCGAAGCCGAAAAATAAAAATATGCACCGCCTTTGCCGGGAATCTGGATTACCGGCCCAGCGTGCAAAACCCTGCACCACGAAAGACGAGAAAGAGATAAATACCTTATATACTCCCCTTTTTAAAGGGCGACTAGTGTTTAGGGGACTAGTCGCAAATCCTGGGTGCGGAGATCATCATCACATCCTTGTAGTTCGGCGCCCTTGTAGAGTCATTAGGGTTATTGGAAAGCAGGCAAGATATAAATCTGCAACCACCTTCGCGGGAATCGAACACGGACCTCTGGAATACCGGCTCAGAGTGCTGACACTCACCACGAAGGACGCTAGGAAAGTGGGAAATACCTTATAAGATGAATAAATTTTGTGCATTCGAGTTAAAAATGAATGAGATGCCGCTGTTAAGTGAACCTAGCGCCAGAGTATCGCTATGGTAAACAAATATAGTGCTTTTAAAGCTTCATTTATCAATAGTTTGCGCTAACGACGGAGTAGATTTAAATAATCCATAAGTTTAAATGAAAAAAAAAAAAAAAAAAATGCGTAATAATATTCCAAGGAATCATGTGGTGTACACATCAGATTTTTTTTCATGAATTATGGCATAAGTGTAAATTAATAGTTCTCAATGTACTCTTGTAGTGAAACGCACAGCATATCGGTCCAGCATTCTGAAAGTCCCGAGTTCGGATCTGTGTAGTATAACAATTCTTTTTTTTTTTTTTTTTTTATTTATTTATTTATTTATTTATTTATTTTCCATGAAATCTTTCTTCAATCTCATCCTTTTCTCTAATAGTCTTCCTAAAATGTACACAGAATGTCTACCTCTAATTGTAATAACAAAAATTTAAAGAAATGTGTCGTATGTTGTACGAATGTTCGGTTTCACTAGCAAAACTAATTAGATGCTTTTGTAATTTAGATGAACGAGTTTCCTGTCACAAACATTCCCGTCCGTCCCTCTAGCACGTTCAGTAGCAGCAGCAGCAGCAACGGCGACTCCTCGGACAGCGGAAAAGGACCACCAGATAAAAACGACGAGGACAATGCAGACAGTGGCAACAGTTTCACTTTTCATCCTTCTTCTTCCGAGTTTGGCACACCGAGAAACAGCATGATCAATAGCACGATTAGTAGTATCTCCGAAAATGTTCCAACTTACGCAAACAACACAGATATAACATTCGCAAATCGGCGGAAAAGCACAGATGCTAGCATCACTAAGCAGCGGATTCCGAGTCCAGAAGATAGTATGTATGGTATTGATACTTATTCGGAGATGGCAGATGAAGAAAAAACAAAACTTCTCAGGTAATATGTGTTTTTTTTTAAATTTATTTTCTAGTATTTTTTAAGTAATTATGTACTACACAAACTAATTTAATGCTGGAATCTACTGCAACAAATTGTTCGTAATAGCTTAGGTTAATCTTTGGATTATGGTAACATGGCGATTTTTTGGCGAAAATTTGGCGACCAACCCTGCTACAGCAACGTGCTAGTTTTTTTGCCGCCATTTTTTCAAGAAGTAAAGGCATTTTTAGTCCAGGGATTTGAATCCCAAGACTATTAGTTTCGTTTTGGGCATTTTGCGTGGACTCATAAATGTCGGTTCACTTTCAAACTGTTGCCACAAAGTTAGAGTCCTGCATTATATTTGAAGAAATTAATAATGAAAATCTGCATAAATGTATGTATATTCTCGTATTGTGATAAACAACGGTACATAGAGTCTCGAATTTTGAATAACGTAATCCTCCAACGAATATGAGCATGTGGAAGACCAAATTGAAATTTGAAATTTGTTTTATGATCGATTTCCTTTTTTTAAAACTTTGACAATTTTTGATTAACAATCACGGATTGAAAGCGGCAACGTTGTGCAAAAAACATTTTATCTCCGCGCGTGAGTCTCTTATCGGAAATTCTAAGATATGCTCGTTTTAAACTATTTTGCGATATGGCTGTTGCCTGGATCTTAGGTTTAGTGCGGGGAACATGAGATTTAATAAAGAAAGGTAACACAAAATGTTAAAAAAACGCCCCTTCGGACGTAATTTAAAATCTGAAAACATTTCGGATTTTTTTTTTTTTTTTTTTTTTTTCCAACAATCTGCTAGCCGAATTACGCTTATGCTAGAACTTTATGGAACAAAAGTGCTTAATCATGACGAAGATTAGGTGTGAAATTGGGAGAAAGTGCAGAATCGCCAAACTGCTTGCCGCGTTTTAAGGATTCCAATACGGTATCCATGTACATACACGTCGAACCTATTTTCACTTAAAAAACTCCCAGAATGGCACAAAAAATGGCATTGCGCACACTCTTGACTTTATCCTGTACACTGCTAAAGTCCTAGCTAGTAACCTCTATCGCCTTACGAAAATGTCGCCAAACTACCTGTTACCATATTCCAAAGATTAGCCTAGCTTACTACTGCAAATACAATCTTTTTAACTTATGCTTCATCAATATGAACTCTTTCATTTACGCAATATCCCTCAAAATCCCCCCATGAAAAGACATAATAAAATATATAATTAAATTGACCTTCTATGTGATAATTTTATTGATCATAAATTGTGTAAGTGTCCTAAAATATTCATGTAATCAACGGTCAAGGTTTTAAAATTGGAATTTGGTTTAAATTTGGACAGAAATATGTCCCGTTACAGCACTCATAGTATTAAAAGCTGTTGCCTAACGTTCATTGATAATCAAGCTTGGCGCAAAATTACTAATTTTAAAAAATTTCATCCAATCAGCACTAGACACGTAAATATTCAACTAGTATGCTTAAGAATATTGAATCAATTATCATTAAAACTCTAGAGAATTCTAACGTAAATATGAGGTAGTACTGAGATTGTGCTCCTACGATGATAGGTAAGGGTGACCATCAATTAACTATTACTTTATTGTCTTCCAAGTATGATCTCATAACGTCTGGTGTTCTCTGGAAGCATAAAATGTACGAAATGTTTGAAGTGAATTATCACTGTCTTGGAAAATAGCCCAGAAACGGGGAAAAGTATTCAATGACCATTATATTTGACTCAAATAAAAGTTAATAAAAGGCAGCAATCATGCTTTCAAAATATAGCCAATAGTTATGGCTTAAATAAAGAATTTGACTTAATTAAGTAATAGTTAGCCTAACGACTACACAATTATAGTAACGTGCAAGTTGGCTCTGACCTAAAAATCGGCGTGACAAACCTAATGGCGATAATAACGCAAAGCCGCAGAATGCTTCTCTTGGGAGAATCTAAATTAGCAACGTGGCCTTCAACAGGCAGAACACGCTCTTCTACCCTCTGAAACCTTCTTTTAAACACTAGCTCCTTTCTAACTCGTTTGAATATCCCGCGAGATAGAAATGTACATTCTAACAGGAAAATGAGAAACCAAAAAGATAAGAAGGCGAATTAACATAAAATAACTTCTTAATAAACTAAACGGGTAAAAGTATAGTTTAAGGTACCCCTTGGCGAAACTTGGAGATTTTTGGCGGTATATGGATTTTGTGCAATTCTTTGACTCGTTATTTTGGCTTGCGAAGAGGCGATTTTTGCCTTTTGAAGAGGCGATCCTTTGTGTGTCGGCGATTTTTGGCGCAAAAATCGCCGACACACAAAGCCAAAATAACAAGACAAACTGTTGCACAAACTCGGTATCCATGTACACGTCGACCTATTTTCACTTTAAAAAAAATCCCCGAATTACACAAAAATGGCATTGCACACTCTTTTAACTTTATCCATGTACACGTCGACCTATTTTCACTTAAAAAAAAATCACAGATTCACAACTCCTTGCGCACTCCCTTTACTTTCCAGGTCCACTCGATATTTTCACTTCAGGGAAGAACACCAAATCTACCATATAGGCAACAAAATGCATCCTCAATAAAACCTTTCAAACCAAACATAAAATAACAAAAAAGAAACATGTTATACTTAAGCACTCCCAAAGCAATACCTTACCACTATTTTCGAGTCGCTTCGACACCCAAGCCCGTAAAAATCAAATACAATCAGACTCAATGACGTTTTCAAACCGGTACTCTTTCTGATCGAACGCTTCACATAAACCATCTGAACCTTTCTTCCTACAACTCATTCAATCCTCTAAACTGTTTTATTTCGACTAGACGCATACCTTCCTACATCGGCACACTTATAATGACTACTAAGTATAGGGTTTCCATAACATTCAACTACTAAGGCTACCATAAATGAAATAACAACTTGGCGATAAATCAAACAACAACTTCGCCATAATACAAGGGGTACCTTAAAGTTTACTCTACGCACTAAACGATACCTTAATAACTCTAAAAATTCGAAACCCATATCTACACTTACCCTAAAACTGCTAAATTTGCTGCAGAATAGTTTTTATGCTACTATGAATTGTTTTTATTCTATTACACAGCTACTCTTTATAAACGATATGCCTGCCATAAAATACATATTGTATCTATAATGCACAGTACGTAGATATATAGTTTATTGTTAGTCCAAAGGGATTTGAGTTCCCGAAGGACTAATTAAAAATTAAATACTTTCGTTTTGCCATTTTGCGTCGGACTCCTATAAATGTCGGTTCACTTTTCAAACTGTTGCCACAAAATGTTAGAGACCGCATTATTTGAAGAAATTAAATACTGAAAATCTGCTAAATGTAGGTATATTTCGCGCATTGCATAAAACAACGGTATCTAACCCATCAAGTTCGAATGACGTAATCCTACTGCGAATATGGGCATCTGAAATCCAATTCAATTTGAATTTGTTTATTAGCGATTTGATATTTTATAAAACGTTAACGACTGTATCGAATCCAAGATTCTCTTTTAAAATTATGTTGCGACACTGCTATTGAACTAAATTTTATGGTTTAAGTGCAAAGAACATGATATTTAATAAATAAAGGTAACAAACAAAACGTTAAAAAAACGCCCTTTTCTACGTAATTTAAAATTTGAAGCATTTCAGATTTTTTTATTTTTATTTTTATTGCTATAGCTTTAATGCTATAGTTTTTATTCTATTGTACAGCTACGCTTTATAACCGATATGCCTGCCATAAAATGCATAATTCTTTCAGTAGATACATAGTTTATTTTACTGCATAAAAGATAGCCTACTTAATATTATGCCAGTTTAATAAGTAGCATTACTTACAAATACTGACAATTAAAATTTAAAAGTGCTGTTTAATTTTTTATATATGTTTGC